AATTTTGAAGAAGATAAAGTTGGAAGACTGACACTTTGTGAAATGAGGACTTACTGTAAAGCTGTAGTAATCAAGAGTGTGTTGTGGTGTCAACAGAAGGGACAAGTCAATGGAGCAGAATAGAGAATCCAGAAGTAGACCCACATGAACATAGCCAATTAGTCTTTGATGGAAGAGCAAAGCTTATCCAGTGGAACAAAGATGGTCTTTCTAACAAATGGTCCTGGAACAACTGGACATCCATAAGCAAAAAAATGAACCTAGGCATGGACCCCTCACAAAAAGTTAACTTAAAATGGATCTCATGCCTAAATGTAGACTATAAAACTAGAGGGTAGATAGAAGCTAACATAGAAGAACACGTAGATGAACTTAGTATGTGATGACTTTTTAGATACAACACCAAAGACACAATATGTGATATGAATAATTGATCAGATACATTCTGTTAAAAACTTGTGCTCTGGGGATCCCTGGGTGGCTCAGCTGTTTAGCGCCTGCCTTTGGCCCAGGGCACGATCCTGGAGTCCCGGGATCGAGTCCCACGTTGGGCTCCTGGCATGGAGCCTGCTTCTCCCTCCTCCTGTGTCTCTGCGCCTCTCTCTCTCTCTCTCTCTCATAAATCATAATAAATAAATAAATAAATAAATAAATAAATAAATATTTAAAAAAAAACAAAAAACGTGTGCTCTGGAAAAGACAATGTTAAGAGGAAGAGAAGACAGACCATTGGCTGGGAGAAAATATTTATGGAAAAATACATCTGATAGAGAGGACTGTTATCCAAAATATACAAAGAACTCTTAAAACTCAACAGTGAAGAAACAACCAGATTGAAAAACGGTCCAAAGACCTTAACAGACACCTCACCAGAGAAGACATATAGATGGCAAATAAGCATATAAAAAGATGCAGTACATCAGATGTTATTGGGGACATGAAACTTAAAACAATGATGACACCGCTGCAGATCTCTAGAGTGGCCACAATCCAGAATATGTACAACAGCAAGTGCTGATGAGGATGTGGCGCGACAGGAGCGCTCATTCCCTGCTGGTGGGAACGCAGGATGGGGCAGCCACTTTGGAAGACAGTTTGGTGGTTTCTCACAGAATTACACATGCATATGACCCAGCGATCATATTCTTTGGTATTTACCCAAAGGAGTTGAAAACCTATGTCTGCACAAAAACCTGCACACGGTTGTTTACAGGAAATTTGGAAGCAACCAAGATGTCCTTCAATAGGTGAATAGATACATCGGTTCATCCAGTAATGGAATATTCAACACTAAGAAGAAAAGAGCTGTCAAGCCATGAAAAGACATGGAGGAAACTTAAGTTCATATCAGTAAGTGAGGTCAATATGAAAAGGTTACTGTATGATCAAACTATATGACATTTTGGAAAACTATGGAGACCGTAGAAAGATCAGTGGTTGCCAGGGATTGGGGAGTAAGGGAAGGGTGAACAGCACACAGATTTTTTAGGGCAGTGAAAATACTCTGTGTGCCATCATAATGATGGATATGTTATTAAACATTTGTCCAAACCCATAGAATGTGCAAAACCAAGAGTGAACCATAACTGTGGACTTGGGGTAATTACTGTGTGTCTGTATAGTTTATCAGTTGAAACAAATGCACCGCTGTGGTGGAGGATGTCTTGGGGCAGAGGGCAAATGGAAACTCTCCTACTTGCCCTTAATTTTCTATGAACCTGAAACTGGTCTTAAAAAAAAAAAAAGCTTTAATTAAGTTAAAAAATATATATGTATATAGCTTTAATTAAGTAAAATAAAACAAAACATAGAAGGGGGAAAAAATCCCCAGCCTCCTGGAAAATAAATCTGCAGGCCCAGATGGTTTCACTGACAAATTATATCACTTAAAAAAGAAAAAACACCAGTTTTATATAGTCTGTTCCGTGTATTTTTAACTTTTTATTTTGAAATAATTTTAGTTTCATTGGTAGCAGAAATAGTACATAGAATTCATTCAGTTTCCTGCAATAACATCTTATATAACCATATACATCATCAAACTATTTCCCATATATTCTTAATTACAGTTATTGTGCTAAAAAATGTAAAGAATTCAGAAGTGTGTGAGGTAAAAACTATTTCTCACACCTACCCCAAGCTAAATAAATAAATCACTGTTAATAATTTGTTGAGCATCCATCCAGGCATTTTTGGCACACACAGAAATACATACACCTACCAGCCTGCGTAGTTCTATTTATTGGTTGTTACCAGAATTCTACCATTCTTTATGTATATAGTTTCCAACTTACTGCTTCTACCTACTAGTACAGCATGAATCATGTAAGTAATACCCATCCCGCACCTTCCAAATAGTGGGGTGTGTTTGTCGTAATGCTGTATGGCAGCAGATTTACTTCTTCCTCTCCTTCCTCTCCCTCCTCCTCGTCCTCCTCCTCCTCCTCGTCCTCCTCCTCCTCCTCCGCCTGTTAGGAACTCTGGTGTCTGGGTTGCAACCTGGAGATGTTCCTTGCAATTTTGCATTTATAATCCGGAGTGACTTTGGTTCGCAGCAGTGGAGGTCACCGGGCGCCGGTGTTGTGGCCATGGCTGGAGGGCTGGTCAGCACAGCGAGCAGCGAGCAGCAGCCCATGGACCCCCAGAGAAGGACGGGCCCTGGCATCTCCCCAAGCCCCCCCACCTGGGTGCCTGGCCAGGGATGAGCTCTGTCCTCAGTGGCTCCTCCCCCTGCCCCACATGGGCTCCCCGAGTTGCATGCAGCCAGCTTGGGAGTTAGGCTCTGCTCTTTGTCTCGGTGGTTACAGAACTTGGCTTCAGAGGGTTTGGATTGGGGCCACTTTTCTACTAGCTTAGTGGTTCCGTGTCCACACTCTCCTTGGAATTCCACCTTCGTCTTTGTGCGGGTGGAAGTCTGCATGCGGTGCTGTGTCGGCTGAGTGTCTACGTTGGACACGAGAAATGTGGCAACTGGTTACACGTGAAAATGTGCAGCTTAGTTGTGTTCAGCTGGTTCCGGAGAAAGCGCGAGACCAGTTTTGTGAGGTCACAGGCAGGAAGCGGGGAGTTAACGTTCATTTCTGAATGCCCTCTGGCACCCTCCCTGTGGAAATGTGGTGGAAATGTGCGTTTGGAATGAGAATCGAGGAAGGAGCCAGCTGAGGGGAATGAGCACTTAATTTTTAAATATCCTGGAAAATCAGTCCTCTGCTTTTAAATAGGGGTTTATCAGTTTTAATGTAGTGTAACAGTATTTAGTTTTCATTTAATTTTGTCTTAATCACACATTTTTGTATATTTCAAAAGAATCATTTTTTAGTAGATATTGCTTTAAAAAATACATGCGCTTTAAAGTTGTTCACAAGTTAAAAAATAATAAGCTCAATTATACAGTCCTATCCTGGCCCAGACTGGGGTCTGAGTGTCCAGGGAGCAGGTAGGCCAAGGACGGTGCACCCTGAGGGCCCGGCAGTCAGTGGCGGGTGAGGTATGCTCCTGGGTCGCGGAGCGGCTGACGTTACAGGTGGAGCGCTTGGCAGGAAAAATAGGCCGAGTGAGATTTGCAGTATGATGCTATTCAGGTGAAGTAAAAGTACACGGACACAAAGCAGTGTCCATTCTGCAGAACAAGCTCCAGTTAGATGACTGGCATCCGGTAGGGGTGGTGAGGGAACAAGGTGGGAGCAGAGGGACGAGGACAGCCAGGGCGCCTGGGCTGCACGGAGGCCGGCGCCGAGGGAGGGCCGCGGTGGGGGCCTTGTCCGCTCCCCGGCCCCAGCCTGTGGTCAGCCTGCCTGCCCTGACCTCACACCCATCTTTTGGAGGAATGTAGGACTGTCTCCCCGGAGGCGTCCAGGGGTCTGCCCCTGGTCTACCCTCGGGGGTGTCGGGCCGTGAGAGGCCCTGGGCCTTGCAGGGACGTGCTGGTGCAAAGGCGGGCCTTGGTGAAGCCCCTGCACCCCGCAGCGCCCCAACCCCGACGCCTGATTCCTGAGCCGGCAGCCAGGCCCTGCGCTCACCTGGGGCGGCGGGGGGGGGGGGGGGGCAGCAGGGCTCCCAGAACAGTGCGGCTTTGTCTTGCAGACGGGTAGCCCAGGCAGGCTACTCATGGAAATCGTAAACATATATTTCTGGTCTAAATAAAGTCTCCAAAGCATGATGGGTTCACGCCGAGCATGCCAAGTTCTCTCTAGGAAACAGAATGTGCTCGTACATTGAGAAGTCTTTCCTTAAGACACCCTTCCTGCCTTGTTCCTGGGAGCTTTAATTTATTTTTAGGCTGTTCTTCTTTATGATAATTTGTCGGAACAGCAGTCCCTGTTCCCGAGTCCTTGCCCGGGGACGGGCTTGGGCTTCCCACCCCTACTTCCACACCGGGAACCTACGGACCTGCCTGGGACTCACTTCGGGATCTTGATGAAATGCAAGCTCGGGCTCATTCTGCAGCGTGGCCTCAGAGTCTGCTTTTCTGGTTTTGTTTTTAACTTTAAACATGTTTATTAAAAATTTTTTTGAGTCTTCATTTCTAACAGGCTCTTAGGGGATGATGACCACAATTTTTAAAAATTAAAGTATTCTTTACATACAATTAAATTCACCCTTCCTGGGTTTTGATGAACACGTGGTCGTGGGCCACCAGCACCACCAAAACAGAATGGCTTCATTACCCCCAAGAACTCCCTCGTTCCCCGTTGTAGTCACCCCCTCCCTCACCCCCATCTGCTCTGTCCCTATAGTGTCATCTTTCCCAGAATGTCATGTAAATGGAATAACTGTGTACGTAGCCCTTAGAGCCTGGCTGCTTTCACTTAGTGATACTCATGTAAGCTCCATCCAGGCTCCTGTATAGAACGAAAGTTTGTTCCCTTTTACTGCTGAATAGAGTTCCATTGTGTGGGTGCGTCACAGATATTAGTGTTTCCACTTTCTCCATTATGAATTACTTTTTCATTCAAAAACTTTGGAGGGAATATAATCATCTTTTGTCATTGTTGTTTTAGGTGACATCACTCAAAAAGGATATGAAAAGAAACGGGCAAAGCTGCTTGCATGCTACATCCCACTTCTTCAAGGTAAGGTCGGCCACTCAGCTGTTTCATAACAGCCATTTTTCTTACCAAACTTGGCCTAAAAATTGATATGTTTTGTATTTTATTAAGGAGGACTGGGCAATGTATCTAATATTAAATAATAAAAATCAAAGACCCAGGTTATAACTTATAGCTTGGAGTTGGCATAGATCTTATTTCAGATAGGATTTATCATATTTTTATGATTATACAATATAATGGTTTTTTTGTGATGATAGTAAGGAACATTCCCTTACGTAGGTTCAGAACAAATGCTGTAATGTTGTCAGTTCTTCCTACCTTAGGTTGATCTGTAGAGCTCACACACTTATCATTTCAACAAAATTTTTTTTGGTGAAATTTAACAAGCTAATTCTAAAATTTATATGAGTCTATGGGATCCCTGGTGGCGCAGCGGTTTGGCGCCTGCCTTTGGCCCAGGGCGCGATCCTGGAGACCCGGGATCGAGTCCCACGTCGGGCTCCCGGTGCATGGAGCCTGCTTCTCCCTCTGCCTGTGTTTCTGCCTCTCTCTCTCTCTCTGTGACTATCATAAATAAATAAATTAAAAAAAATTATATGAGTCTAAAGGGCCAAGGGATTCAAAATGTGCTCAAAAAAGAAGAATGAGATGGGAAGATTGGAAAATCAGTATTGGGCTGTCGTCATGAAGACGGCATGGTTTGGAACATGGGCAGGCAGCTGGGTTAGCGGAGCAGCACCCAGAGCCCAGACAGACACAGAAGGGCCCGCGTGTGCAGATGTGGCCGCTGTTGGGGGCAGCGTTGCGGGGCACGGTGCTGGCACAGCTCCCTGTCCGCGTGTAGGACACGTCACTGGACACAACAACCAGTGTCCGATGGAGAAGGACTGAGAGGAAACATAAAAGCTACAATATCGTAGAAGATTGTATAGGAAAATCGTCACCATCTCAAGAGAGACGGGATTCCATGAGTCACTAAAGGGCCTGGGCTGTGACCTGAACGGAGAGAGCCCGGACCGTGTTTAAAGTAATGTCATTTTATCCAGAGTCACCGTAAAGAGATTAAGGACAAGTCACACAGTGGGAAGATCACTGTAACACAAATAAGTGAAAAAGAACTAGTATCCAGATCGTGTAAGGCAGCTCTGTCCCATTTATTAACTTCCGTGATAATGGAAATGTCATGTAGGGCCGTCCAGCGCTCAAAACAATGGCTAGTGTAACTGGGAGACTGAATTTTTAATTTAAGTGAAATTAATATAAACTTAAAAAGCCAGAAAGTCCCCCAACATGATTTTTTTAAAAGCCGAGTAGGAAACTGGCCTGAAGACTTGATCATGGTTTTGTAAGCAGCAAGCCTACCAGGCAAAAGCAGACAGAGATGGTTGAGCTCAGGGGGAATCCGAGGGATGTGGATTAAAGCCATAAGCTGCCGGGTTGTTGGAGGAGGTTCAGACGGCAGGTATGGACAGCCGTAAGGCTGAGGCGGGGCTGCTGGCCTTCCCGTGTCCAGGCGCTCAGGCAAGCTGTTGGGTTTGCACCTGCGCTTTCTCTGGGCATAGGATGACAGCTGTCCTGCTCGCACCTGCAGGTTCCAGGCGCTGAGGGCCACGGAGCCCACGGGGTGCCCTGGCAGCCTCCGCGAGTCCCGGGGTGCGCTGGCTCCATGCCCGGCGGGGGCTGCACACAGCACTAGGCAGCCTGTCCTTGGGGAGCCTGGGCCGAGGGCCCGCTGGCCATCCTTCCGACGTGCCCTGGGCCTCAGACGGTCGGAGCGGGGAAGGCTTGCCTCATGCGGGCGTCAGAGGGTAGCGGAGGAGGGTTCAGAGCCAGCACAGGGTCGGCCTCATGACTCCGGGGCCCGCGTGCTCGTGGCCGCATGCTCAGGGCCGTGTGCTCAGCCCCGCGGTCTCTGCGGCCCGCCTCGTGCGCAGCCCCACCGACCCGCGGTGTTGCTGTCCCAGTGACTGCACGGTGGGATGTCATTGGGGGGAGTTGGCCGACCTCGTGGACAGTGCCAAGAAGAGTGACACAAGCCATCCAGATTCAGGACGCATTTGTGATGCAGAAACACGTTTCTAAAGGGCCCTCCCCAGAGCGCACCCCAGTGGCCACGTCGCTGTGACAGTCACCCGTCGTACAGACAGCGGGCGGCAAGGCCGGGCAGGCCGGGCGCGGTCGGGAGAGGGCCGCGGAGGTGTTCCTGGCGGCCCGCGTCGTCGATGCAGGGCCCTCCTGGGCTTCAGGGGCCGCCAGAGGCTGCGGGCGCTCCGCTGCTACCTGTGGGCAGCGAGCGCGGCGGAGCAACACGGGAGCAATGCGTGCTGCTTTAACTGGAGTGTTCCATAATCACAAAAGCAAATTGTTTACGTAAGACAATCCTACAAATTTGTGTCGCAGGAGTAGATCCGTCCCTACAAGCAGAGAACAGGGTCTCCGGCCCCGCGCAGACGTCAGCTGCGGCACCCAAGCAGCAGAAGCTGCGGCCGGCCAACTCCCGGGACGAGCGCTTCCGCTCAGGTAGGGGCGCCCACTGGGGCCGCGGGGAAAGTGGTTTCCACTTGAGGGACCATTTACCACATCTCTTTTTAAGAGAAAATCTGGCCTCCACACGGCCTCAGGATCCCTAACGTGACCCATAGGGTTGGCGGTCTCTCCCCAGGAGATGCTCGTAAAAATCCCTAGATAAATCATCCTTTCTGCCGATTAGTATAATTCCTTTAAACTTTTTTGTTCATTTTTGGACCTCAAGCTTCAGGGTTGGTATCGGTAATTTTCGTATGTTGTGGAGTAGCTTTACTACAGCAGGCGTTTCTACTAGTTTTTCTTTTTCTCATTTTGGAGATTTCCTTCTAATCAGATTTCTGCCATTCTGTCAGTACTTTTATGAATATTTAAGTCAGTCTGTGATATTTTATTTGAATTACCGGAATGGCCATTGAAAAGATTCATGTTTTCAGTTGTAGGCTGCGTGTCAGTAGCTTTTGGGCCCTCTGCTTCGTCTGCTTAACATTTCCACCCTGTGTGACATACATTTCCTTTCCATTTAAGATCTTTTGGTAAGCTTTTTTTATTTTTTAATTAAAAAGATTTTTTTTAAGATCTTATTTATTTATTCATGAGAGACAGAGAGAGGCAGAGACATAGGCAGAGGGAGAAGCAGGCTCCATGTAGGGAGCCCGATGTGGGACTCGATCCTGGGACCCTGAGCTGAAGGCAGACGCTCAGCCCCTGAGCCCCCAGGGGCCCCAGAGTTTCTATTTTCTGTGCCTTCTTAGTAGATACCCTCCAGGGGAGCAGGCTAAACAGTCTAACTGCACTGTTTGAAAGTCATTTGGAGGGATCCCTGGGTGGCGCAGCGGTTTGGCACCTGCCTTTGGCCCCGGGCGCAATCCTGGAGACCCGGGATTGAATCCCACGTCGGGCTCCCAGTGCATGGAGCCTGCTTCTCCCTCTGCCTGTGTCTCTGCCTCTCTCTCTCTCTCTCTCTGTGACTATCATTAAAAAAAAAAAAAAAAAGTCCTTTGGAATACTTCAGGACAACTAGAGACACATTTAGGTTCATTTGTTTCATTTTAATTTGGGGGATTTATCTTTTATCTAGTTTTGATTTATAACTATGAAAATATTTACATAGTCTAAATCTCCCAACAAAGGAACATTTAAAGAAATCTAGGGCCAATGTCATAGGCTATGCTTATTTTTTTAAATTTAAAATAAATATCAGATAGTATAGTATAAGTTTCAGAGGTAGATTTAGTGACCCATCAGTTACATCTAACACCCAGTGCTCATTACATCACGTGCCTCCTTTATGATAGGCCTTACTCATGTCTCTTTTACATTCAATAAAAACAGATAATATGAACTTAATTTTGTTACTTCGTAAGCAATCTTGTAGGAAGTGTATTTACTGCTGTGTTTTTACGTAGATGTTCACACGGAAGCGGTGCAAGCAGCTCTGGCCAAGTACAAGGAGAGGAAGATGCCTATGCCTTCCAAAAGACGTTCTGTTCTCGTACACTCGTCTGTGGAAACCTACACGCCTCCAGGTATTGACGGACGGCGTCAGGAGCAGCTGGGTGGGCCTTGCACGGCTCCGACCTCATAGCCTTCCCTTCCCCGTCTGACCTGTAGTAAAGATTTGGAAAAACTAGAGATCAGAAATATTTGTGTACGTGCAGTGTACACAGTGTGGCTCTAACCCAAGTGGGTGCTTGCTTTCTTCCGGACTTTTGGGTACATTTTAATGCTTTTACTAAAATGCTATTTATTCTTTTTAGTAAAGAGAGGAACCCAAAGTCAATGCTTACTGGAATACTTAAGTTCTCTGATTTAAGAATCTTAAAATTATTCTCATCTTATTGATTATTTACTATATTGTTACCAGGCGTTAAATGGGAGTGGGTTATTTGGAGGATTTTAAAAATTTATTATTGTTTCGTTGTTATTACCATTAGAAATGAGAACTTTTACGTGGAGTATTGGTGATGTCTGGTGTCCTGCTGCTGCCTGTCTTGATTTTGAAGTCACGAAACTGGTGTCAGGAGTTTTTGGTTTGATGATGTACTGAAAACCAAACACACTAGGTTTATAAGACAATTTGGGGGTTTTGGTAACACTTCCTTTCTAAAGGAAAAGAAAAAGTTTATATTGTTGAAAAAAAACTTCTAGAAATAGCTGTCAGATTATTGTTCCCACTAAATACAACTACAGATACCACTCAATTTTTAAGAAAACTTTTTAATAATAAAATGCACAGTCATGGTGACTTGAAAAACCTCAGTGAACAGTTAATCTTACTGAGTGAAGCAGTTGTCTTCGGGGGTTATTCTTCCCCGGGCTCATTGCCGCCTCCCCTAAGAAGACGCAGGTGTGCAGGGGAGGCCTGGGCGGGTGGGGCTGCTGCCCCTGACCACTGCGCTGCCTCGGGGGGCAGGCCGGGCCGTGTGTCAAGGTCGTGTGGGGCGTTCACTCAGATGAGCACTCAGCACCTAGGGACTGCCGTGGTACTTGGGACCCCACCAAGGCTTGTGCTGAAGCCACTTAGGGCTTGGGCCGCCTCCACTCCCAGCATGTGGGCTCCCAGACAGTCCTCCCGGGGAGGCTGGGCTCTGAAACCGCTTTCCCAGTTAGGGCTCCTTGGATCTTACAGCGGAGAACTTAGACCTTCTAGATCCAGGGCAGCCTTTGAGACGACCCCGTGGCCGCGCTGGGCCGCAGCGGCGCAGGTGTGCACAGCTTGCCCCGGGCAGGCCTGGGAGACGCAGGTGCCGGTGTGGGAGCTCCACCCCCTACCCGACTCATCCCTACATTATGCCTGTCATCATTATTTTAACCACAGACACGTCATCTGCCTCAGAAGATGAGGGCTCTTTACGGCGACCCGGGCGACTCACCTCCACTCCGCTCCAGAGCCATTCCAACATCGAGCCCTGGCTTGACCGGGTCATTCAGGGCTCGTCCACCTCATCCTCTGCATCCTCCACCTCATCTCACCCGGGAGGGAGACCCGCTGCCGCTCCCAGTGCCGCCGCCACCGCCACGCTCACAGGCCCCGCGGCCCACGCCCACATAGGTCAGTAACGAGCTGCCGTGGCCCTCCAGGACAGGGGTGCCTCTGTGCCCCGTGCCCATCAAGACCCACCTCCTCTTTTTCATCTGGAAATGTCTTTTTGGTAACAAGAGTAGCTCCTGGTGCGTCTGTGGTTTGGCAGTTCCAGGCACGGTGGGCCCCGGAGTGGCGGTGTTCCTTCATGTCAGGTCCCCTCCTGCTCTGGAGGTTGGGCTGGTGCAGGTGGCAGGTGTAGTAGGGTGGACGGCCCCTCAGGCGTGGCCTTGGCTGCTGCTGATAGCCACCCACGGCCTGCTGCCTCGACGTCATCCCCGCCTTTGCTCTTGGCTGCGTGTGCAGAGTTGGAGAGCCGTCAGCCGTCCCCTCGCCCGGCAGCTGCTGGGCCTGCAGTCGTGGGCTGACCTTTCTTCCTCCACGTACCAAGTCATACCACCCCTCAGCCCGAGGAGAGGCCAGGCAAAACTAAATCGCAGAGATGTGTCGATCTTTTCTAAATCATCCAGTTCTCTAAATTACATTGATCTTAGGAAAAGTTGCAAACGTCTTATCATTTGAACGCTTTGCACTCAACAGCAGGAGTAGCATAGCGTGTGTGAGCTGCGACGGGAGCTCGCGTGTGCTCTGCACTCGTGCCTGCACAGCAATGCTTTTCTTGGGTGGTGCTGTCAGCGTGGCCGCAGACCCTCTGAACACCCTCATGCTTCTAGACGTGGAGGGAAGACAAAAGTCAGGTTGTTCGTGACCTGCCTGAGATCACGCAGCTGTCCTAGCAGTGAAGCCAGGGCTGATGCAGTTTTCTTGGTTCCCACTCATTTCTTTGCTATTCTGCTAAAACTGGAATGTGCACCAGCTGCACATCAGTGACAGGCTCCTGTTTTCAGGAAGGGGGGTCCCAGCAGGTCAGACACCCCCAGGCAGGGCGGGCTCGGGCTGAGCTGCTTTCACATGAACGTTGGTCACTCAGCTGCACCGGGAGTGCATTGGGTGACGTCTCCGCATCCCCTGTGGACACATCACGGATGCACTTCGCTGTTTATGGGTTGAGTCAGTACAGGAATCCTGCACACTTCTGTGGAGCTTGAGTCATCTACCATGATGTAGCCCCGCTGCCTCCAGCACGCAGAGAAGCTGTCGGTCTAGTCCTCCGGGTAGTAGGAGAGGCTGGGGCTTGAGCAGAGCCCACGGACGCTGTTCTGGCCGTCCTCCTGGGTGTCCTGGGGCAGCTCGCGGTCTCTGCCCCCTGTCCTCAGGGACGGCTTCCAGGGAGAGCCTGAAAAACAGCTTTCACACGATTACATTTTTTTCCTCGTTTGTCACAGTGATTTGACTTACCGGAAATACACAGATGTCTCAAAGTGAGAAAACAGTTGTTTCCGAATGTGCTGTTATCTTATTTCTGCTTCCTGAGACTCTGTTCTCGGTGAGATGGGGTAGGAACGAGACTGTGTTAGCCGCCCGTGGGCTCTTGCAGTCCCTGCTTCCCGTGGCTTAGAGAGGAAAGCGTATCCAGCGTGAGTGACTGGCCACAGCTTATAACTTAGCCTGACAGTGCTGGACTTTCCGGTGGCTGTGGGGCCTTTTAACGATGCACGCAGCTGTGAGGTGTGTGTCGCCCTGGCCGTGGAGGGTGACGAGGGACACTCGTTACCACGGTGCACGGAGGACCCCCGACTCTAGCAGGTGTGGCCGCACCCGTCTTTTCTCCCATACCACTCGCTTGGCCTCCATATACATTGTGTGATCGAGTCTGGTAAATTCTAATAATCTTAACTGTGGATTGTGGGTTCCATATGCTAAATGTCCTCTGGGTATAGATGACTTGAGTTCCTGAATCTGAAAATACTCACCTTCCTGCTCCGTGTTATAAAAAAATCACCTTTTTAGTTTTTATCACTGGAGAATTCTTCAGTTTGGACTGAGGAAAGAAATCTAGAAAGGAGAAAATTATAGTAGGTAAAAAAACCTTGAGGTTCAATATATTAGGTAAAGGTAATTTAAAAAAATATGTTGTTTTCGATTTTGGATTACAGAAATCAAATCCATAAAACACTGGGACACAGATGTAAATACCTGTATTTAAAAGTAGTATTTCCAGGGCAGCCCGGGTGGCTGAGCCGTTTACCGCTGCCTTTGGCCCAGGGCATGATCCTGGAGACCCGGGATCGAGTCCCGCGTCGGGTTCCCTGCGTGGAGCCTGCTTCTCCCTCCGCCTGTGTCTCTGCCTCTCTCTCTCTCTCTCTCTCTCTCTCTCTCTCTTTCTCTGTTTCTCATGAGTAAATAAAATCTTTAAAAAATAAATAAATAAATAAAAGTAGTATTTCTAATTAAAGCAGTTCATTTTTATTTTAAATATTGTTTATTTTTATTGTTTTTTTGAAGATTTTATTTATTTATTCATGAGAGACACAGAGAGAGAGGCAGAGGGAGAAGCAGGCTCCCCGCAGGGAGCCCGACATGGGACTCGATCCCAGGACCCTGGGGTCATGCCCTGAGCCGGAGGCAGACGCTCAACCACTGAGCCACCCAGGTGTCCCTATTTATTTTTATATGGTGTTTTTAAAACTACTTTGTAGTTAAGATTACCATTTATGCATTTTTCATGAATACTGTTAAAATCACTTCCTCTTTTTGCTAGACTTGGAAGGTTGGGGAAATTTCTTTCTAAACTAAAAGAACCTCATGATAGGCATACTTTAAAATGCTAATTTCATCAATATCATGCTTTCTCAAGGGTTATGAAAACTCTGTCATTAAGTTAGATTTTTCCAGATGGTATTTTCTGCTCTGTAAATAGTTGAGTTTGGGTTTTGCTTCCATATAATTTCATCTATCTACATATTTAAAAAAATTTTTTAGCTTGCACTTTGCCTGGGTTATGATGATTGGAATTTAAAATCAGAAGCAGCAGAATGGCATCTGGGGTGGCGGGAGCAGGGTCAGGACCAGGGGACTGCAGGTCTGTCCCGATGGCCCTGGTACAGATGCCCGCTCACACCCACACCTCTGCAGCTCAGAGGCGGCCGGCGTTCCAGATAGTTAACATGTGCCGTAGGATAAAGGTTAAACCCCAAAATGTGCGTTCAGACGGTGGAAGGAGTGGCTTTCAACATTTTCTGCATCTAACGCCGTTGGTCTTTAACTGTGATGTTAGTATCCTGTGTCGTTAGGACTTGACGGAGATCCCCCAATAGTGACATGTGTTGACCTGGCAGTGGGGATAATTTTTATCTGCCTAGGCTTATTCTTGTGTATTTGTGACATCCAACATACTTTTTTGGGGAGAGGGGGATAGTTTACAGAAGCTTGCCTTTTTTTTCATAATACAATGAAAATGGTTCAGTGAACAATTGATTTAAAATGTGTCTGTGCTTCATTGAGATTTCTAACTGCAGCTCACTCGTGCCTGTCAACACACTGTCGTTGGAGGTTCTGGCCGAGATCCCTTTGAGAACCACAGAGCCCACTTGCACACGGGTGTCCACAGACCGTGCCTGGGAGTTCAGAGTTCACAGGGTCTCAGTCAACCAGAAAAAGAGAATTAATTGGAGTACCACCTCCCGTGCTTAGAGCTCAGCGAGTGAGGCTTTAGTTGAATGGGGTTTATAGAGCGACTTAATCCTCTTCTGAATCAACAGCCACTCTCATTTGGGGTTTGTTTTTCCAAAGCAGATCTTCACTCTGCCCCTCCGGATGTCACCACGGGCCTCGTGGAGCTCTCCCACTGCGAACGTCCACAGCTGGCTTCTGTGAGGGGTGTCCCTCGGGGCTACAGCGGGAGCGTCCTGGAGACGGCCGGTGGTGAGCATGCCTCTCTTTGTCCTTTAGAAGCAGCAGAGCACAGCCTTTCTCTTCAGGTATTGACCATGAGCATCGCTTAGGTGCATTTGCGTTAGCAGACCTGAGCCAGCCATGAGTTATCACGGTGCATGTGGGCTGAAGCCAGCGTGTGGGCTGGGCGTTATTACAGAGAGTGCCCAGGGGAGGAAGAGTCAAAAATCTCTGGAAGGGTCAGAGGGGGAACAAGGAGAGTAGGGAAGAGAAAGCCTCGACATTTAAATTGGATGCAAAAGCAGTTTGTAGCTATAGAACAGCAGGAAAAGAAGCCGTGGCAGTCTTTGCTGCAGACTGTGCGTGGCCTCAGTGGGAGAGCGCCCGGCCCGTGACACCCATTCCCACGCTGTCTGCGCCCACAGCCCGAGCAGCGGGCACCGCAGCGAGCGTGGTTTCTCACCTGCAGGCTGGGAAGGCCACAGCATGACCTTCACAGTGTCCTCATTTAGACCATTTCCTTTTGAATCAGTTTCCAGCGTCTTTGATCAAAATCATGTGAAGTTTTCTTTGCAGTGTTCCAGGTCTGAATTGGAGGAAAATCCAGAGGATCTTAGATCTGAGGTTTTAACATGTATTCTGATATTCCTAAGCGGTGGATCAAATTTTGTCCAGGTGCTTTAGCTCCTTGTCCAGACACAGTAGGAAAATACTGAGTCAATAAGAAGCAGGTTTTCCACTGGTTAGATTTTTTTTTTAATTTGATTATATATAAAAAAAAACTTAATAGCTCAGTGGAGGTATAACTGACATGTAATCAACTGCACATATTTAAAGTGTACAGTTTTACATGTTTTAAGACGTGTACACCTGTGAAACCATCCCTGTGATGAAGTTAGTGAACACATCTGTCTTTCCCCTCTGCCCCTCCCCCTGCACTCCCTCCCTCAAATGAATGAATGAATGAATACATACATACATACATACATACATACATACATATATACATAAATGGTTAGGTGTCCAGTTCTTGTTTCAGCTCAGGTCATGGTCTCAGGGTTGTGGGATGGAGCCCCGCCTCAGGGATGTACTCCGCAGGGAGTCTGCTTGAGATTCTCTCTCTCCCTCTGCCCCCCCCCCCGCCCTCCCCCATCACCCCCATCCCTGTCTCACAAATAAATAAATCTTTCAAAGAAAGATAGTGAACACATCCAGCATTCCTAAAATTTCCCTTGTGCACCTTGGTAATACCTCCCCTCTGCCCTTTCTGACTTCCCCCAGGCTTCCTGCAGCCCTCATTTACTTCCTGACACTATGAATTAGTTTGCATTTTCTGGAATTTTGTATAAATAGAATCATGCAAGGGGAATCCCTGGGTTGCTCAGCAGTTTAGTGCCTGCCTTTGGCCCAGGGCGTGATCCTGGAGACCCAGGATCAAGTCCTGCATCAGGCTCCCTATATGGAGCCCATGTCTCCCTCTGCCTGTGCCTCTCCCTCTCTCTCTCCCTCTCTCTCTCTCTTTCTCTCCCTCCTTCTACCTCTCCCTCTCCCTCTGTGTCTCTCATGAATAAATAAGTAAAATCTTAAAAAAAAAAAAAAAGAATCATGCAGTATCTACTCTTAGATTGTCTGACCTCGGCCCCTCTACATATGTACTTTGAGATTCACTCGTGGTCTTGGATGTAGTTTGTTCCTTTTGCCGGTAAGTTGTACCTTGTTTTATGGATGTGGGTGTGCTGTGCTGTAGTTCTCACCTGTTGAGGGGTACCTGGGTTGCCTCCAGGTTTGGGAGGCAAATACAACTAAAGCTGCCGTGAATACTCCTACAAGGTTTGGTGTAGAGGTATACTTTCATTTCTTTTGGGTCAATAGCTAGGAATAGAATGGCTGGATCACATAGTAGGTTTATGCTTAACTTTCTAAGAAATTACCAAACTGATTTCCAAAGTGGTTGTCCTATTTCACATTCCCAGGCTGGAGATGAGTGCTCACGTCCCCCCACACCCTTGCCTGCGGTTGGTGTGATCAGGCTTGTTAACGTCAATGTGGAGCTGGGCGTGTGGAGGTATCTCACTGAGGTGTTAATTAGCATCTCCCTAAAGACTCAGGATGGGCAGCACCTTTTTATATACTTATTTGCCATCTGTATGTCTTTTTAAGTCTGTTCAGATCTTTTGCTTTCTTTTTAATGTGCTCTTTTCCTATTAAGTTTTGAGAGTTTGTTATATATTCTGGATTCAAGTTCTTTATCAGGTGTATAATTTGGATATTTCTCCCAGCCTGTGGCTTGTGTTTCTCTCATTCTCTTAACAGTGACTTTCAAAGAGCAGAAGTTACTGATTGTGATGAAGTCCAGTTTACTCATGTTTTCCTTTATGGGTCCTACTTCTGTGTCATATCTAAGATATATTTCCCTAACCCAAAATCATAAAGGTTTTCCATGTTTTCTCCTAGGATTTTGTAGTTTGTTTTATATGTAGATCCATTTCAAGTTAATTTTAGTGTAAGTACAGCATATAGATGGGAGTTTGTTTTTTTTTTTTTTTTTTTTGCATGTGGATGTCGAGCTCTTCCAGCATCGTTTGCTACAAGGCCCACTCTTTACCCCACTGAATTTCTTTGGGATCTTCAATGAAATTTGGTAGACCATGTATGAGAAGGATCTGTTCCTGGCTCTCTGTGCTCCCCCATGGCTGTTTGTCCATCTTCGTGTCAGTACTACAGTGTCATGGTTACTGTGGTTTTACAGCAGATCTTGAAATTGTGTAATTTGTCTTCAAACTCTGCTTTTCATTTTGCAGTTTGCTTTGGCTCTTCCAGTTCCTTTGCATTTTAGTGTATATTTTTATATTTTTTATTTTTTTTTAAATTTTTTTTTTAAATTTATTTATGATAGTCACACACAGAGAGAGAGAGAGGCAGAGACATAGGCAGAGGGAGAAGCAGGCTCCATGCACCGGGAGCCCGACGTGGGATTCGATCCCGGGTCTCCAGGATCACGCCCTGGGCCAAAGGCAGGCGCCAAACCGCTGCGCCACCCAGGGATCCCATATTTTTATTTTTTTAAGATTTTTATCTATTTATTTATTCACAAGAGACAGAGAGAGAGAGAGAGAGAGAGAGAGAGAGAGAGAGAGAGGCAGAGACACAGGCAGAGGGAGAAGCAGGCTCCATGCAGGGAACCCGATGTGGGACTCGATCCCAGGTCTCCAGGATCAGGCCCTGGGCCAGAGGCAGACGCTCAATCACTGAGCCACCCAGGCTGCCCTAATGTATATTTTTAAATCAGTTTGTTTCTATCAAAATTCCTACTGAATTCTTAAAATATTATATATTTCAATTGATAAATACAGGGAATCCCTGGGTGGCTCAGCGGTTTAGTGCCTGCCTTTGGCCCAGGGTATGATTTTGGAGACCTGGGATCGAGTCCCGCATCGGGCTCCTTGCATGGAGCCTCCATGCTTCTCCCTCTGCCTGTGTCTCTGCCTTTTTCCTCTCTCTTGTCTCTCATGAATAAATAAATAAAGTCTTTTAAAAAACTGAAAAATACAGTATATCCCTCCATGTATTTGGCTCTTACAAAAAATTTTTAGCATTGTTTTGTTAAAATTATTCCATAATAGGTTATGTTTTTGATGTTATTCAATTACAATGTTATTATAAATATTAGAATTTTAAATTTTTTCCAGTTGCTTATTACTGGCCTGCAGAAATGCAATTGGTTTTTGTTTGTTGGCCTTTTATAAGTTTATTAACTTCTTTGGTAGATTCCTTAAGATTCTATATGTTTGGCCATATTGTCTAATATGGTTTTAATTTTCTTTCCAAATTGTCTTTAGGGACATTTATTTTTCTGGCCTTACTGCAATGTGTAGGACTTCCACTTGTGTCACTGAGAAGTGTTGAAAGTTGTTTCCAGCTGTAGGAGGAAAGCATCCACTTTTTCGTGTTTGAATTGTGATCTTAGCTGTGGGTTTTTCAAAGATGCTCATCATCAGGATATTATTTTCCTAATTTCCTGAAAATTTTTATCTTGGTTTTTGTTAAATGATTTTTTTTTTTTTAAGAGAGAGAGAGTGAGCATGCAAGGGTTGGGGAGGGGCAGAAGGAGCAAGAGAATCTTAGGCAGGCTCCAACATCTACCAGGGTACTCCATCTCACAACCGTGAGGTCATGATCTGAGTTGAAATCAAGAGTCAGGCACTTCACCAACCGAGCCACCCAGGCACCCCTGTTAAATGAATTTTTTTATCTAGTAAAGTCACGTAGGGTTTTTCTTTTGTAGTTTGTTAATGTAGTAAATTTCATTGATTGATATTTGAGTGTTAAACCAAAGTTACATTCTCAGGATAAACCCAACTTGGTTATCATGCGTAATTATTACACATAATTTTTTCTGTATTATGGATTTCATTTGCTAATACTTTGTTAAGGATTTTGTGCCTATGTTTAAGATACATAGTGGTCTGTAAGATTTTTTTTTCTTGTAATATCTTTGGTCTTGGTATCACAATAACACTCATCTCAAAACGAATTGAGAAATATTCCTTCCTCTTCTACTTTCTAATCAGAGAAAATAAATTTTCTGTTCTTGAGTCAATTTTGTGTATTGGAGGAATTTGTTCCTCTGTGCTCTCCAATTTAGGCAGAAGTTCATGATATTCCTTGATTTTCCTCTGATGCATTTGAATCAGTGGTGCTGTCCCCTCTTATATTTCTGGTATTTGTAATTAGTGTCCTCTCTCTTTTTATCTTGATCATCCTAGCTAGAAAGTTAATTGAATTTTATTTATCTTGGGCTAATAAATAGTGGTTTAGTGGTTGAGTGTCTGCCTTCGGCTCGGGGCATGATTCCAGGGTCCTGGGATCAAGTCCCTCATCAAGCTCCCTGCATGGAGCCTGCTTCTCCCTTTGCCTGTGTCTCTGCCCCTCTCTCTGTGTCTCTCATGAATAAATAAAATCTTTTAAAAAAATTAAAGAATTTTATTTATCTCTGAAAGAACCAGTTTTGGTTTCTTTTTTTCTATTGT